TTTTTGAGTTTTGTTGTTTTGCCGTTTTGTGAGTGTGTTGTTGTGTTGTTTTTCATTTTGAGTAGGTATGTTTGTACCTTGTGGGTTGTGTTATGGGCACGGGGATTTTGGTTAAGTTTCGTTGGGGGATTTTTGAGTTTTGTTGTTTTGCCGTTTTGTGAGTGTGTTGTTGTGTTGTTTTTCATTTTGAGTAGATATGTTTGTACCTTGTGGGTTGTGTTATGGGCACGGGGATTTTAGTTAAGTTTTGTTGGGGAATTTTTGAGTTTTGTTGTTTTGCCGTTTTGTGAGTGTGTTGTTGTGTTGTTTTTCATTTTGAGTAGATATGTTTGTACCTTGTGGGTTGTGATATGGGCACAGGGATTTTGGTTAAGTTTCGTTGGGGGATTTTTGAGTTTTGTTGTTTTGCCGTTTTGTGAGTGTGTTGTTGTGTTGTTTTTCATTTTGAGTAGATATGTTTGTACCTTGTGGGTTGTGTTATGGGCATGGGAATTTTGGTTAAGTTTCGTTGGGGGGTTTTTGAGTTTTGTTTCCTCGTTGGATGCCCCTAACAAATTTATATATATAGACAAGCATTTAGAGGGAAAATAGACCTGAAGGTCTGGCCAGTCGATTGCAGTACTGCTGATGAAGGAAGCCATTATGACTGGCGCAGTGAGTCTGCACAACACCCAGGTGTGAGATGTTTATTCCAGGACTTACCTTTAAAGCATCATACTTTTATTTTTGGTCAATGGAGTGAATGCTCAACATGCCCAAACTCATTTTTCCTCTTGGGGAAAGAGGCAAAGACAAATCAGCAAAGAGAGAAAATAAGTTTGTATTCTGAACTTGAATATGTTGTCTATTATTATTACAACTCCAATAATCTTTCAATCAGTATGGCCATTGGCAGTGCTGGCTGGGAATTTTGGGAGCCCCATTCCATGGTCAAACATTGATGTGCTGTACAGTCAGTCCTCCGTATCCATGGTTTCTATATCCATGGAGCCAATCATTCATGACTTGAAAATACTCAAAAGAAAACTGCGAAAAGCAAACCTTGATTTTGCCCTTTCATACAAGGGGTACCATTTTACTATTCCACTATATATGATGGGAGTTGAGCAGCCACAGATGTTGGTGTCCACGAGGAGTCCTGGAACCAAACGCCAGTAGATATCAAAGGACTGCTGTACACTGACAGACATTCAACAGATCTTGTGAGTTCCAAACAACTCCAGTAATACACGGCATTCTGTCTTTTGAGTTAATTATTTTTCATAGGCTCATAGGCCACCTGGATCAGACAATGGTATTGGACAGGAGCACCTTTTATCAGCTCCTTACTTATTTCTCCAAGGTCATGTGGCCAGCATGACTGCATTGAGCAGCATTACCTTCCTGCAGAAGGTAGACCTTGGAGGCATTTGCGGACAACGCTGGCTCTTCGGCTTAGAAATGGAGATGAGTACCACCCCCTTGAGTTGGACACGACTAGACATAATGTGAAGGGGAAACCTTTGCTTTACTTATCTCCAGCCTTTCAAAGTAGATCAAGACCTGGACCAACTCTGTCATCTTAGGTAGGTCACTAGACTAGGTCTTACATGAAAGAAATATATATATATACCTCTTCTTGCACTGTACTTTTAAAAAGAAATCATTTTGAAAGTGCAATTTGATAATTATGAATTGAAAGGGCCTGTGCCTCAAGGCTACAAGCCAATCTAATGAACAAAAGAAAACCCAAATCCATTCTTCAATTATTTATTTAGTTCCCATTAGGGAAACCCAAACTATTTGCAGTATCTCAGCAAAGCAACTTGCTAAGAACCCAATTATGACTTCGTTCCACCACTATACAGAATAGAAAACCAAAGGGATGTGTGCTCAGTAACACAAAGACAGCTTACCTGAGGTGTTGATTAAAGTAGCACGTAAAAGGCTGAGAGCCAACTTCATCTTCCCAGTAATCCTGCCAGTGGGTTACAATGTCAGAGTTCTTCTCATTTTCTCTTTCACAGGGAGGGATATATGAACACTGTTGAAATAAAAGGCATCGTTCTATTATCTGAGTGAATAAAACAGTCTGTTTGATCCTCCCTCAACAACTTTCATAAATAAAATTAAAGCGTATGCTTCAAAGATAAAGAAAAAGACAAAAAAGAGACAGTTTTCCTGAATAGTGTTGCTATTGCTGTATAATAATTGTAACTGAATGCTATGAATTCCCTAATCCCTAAGAATGCTATGAATCCTCTAATTCCCTAAGAAGAGCAGGATGTCCCACCCTGTAAATTGCTGATCGCTAATTCTAGACAGTTACATAAAATAGACATTATAGAATTGAATAAATCTGTCATGACGATAAGAGAGCCCTGCTGGATCACAGCTAAGACCTATATAATTAGACATTCAATCCCCATCATGACCAACCAGGTATTTCAATGAGAGCCCAGAAGCAAGATATAAGTGTCATGTTCCCCTACAACAACTAAATGAACTGTATTCAGAGGCATACTTTCTTTGGCACTACAGGTAATATATAGCTATCATAACAAATAACCACTGATAACAACATACACATAGTTCCACATGTTAATACATAATGAGCCACAATTTTATTTCTAATTAAAATGAGTGGCATTTTGTAAAAGCAGAAAGTGCAAGTTAGTTACAAATATCATATATGTACCATGTTCAAGGCCCTCTTAAATAGTATTATCCCTTTATGAGCAACAGTACTTGCTACAAGCATATAACATACATTAAAGGGTGATCAAATTCAGAAATGAATTAAGAATCTATGCGAATGATTGAGGCGAGAAGCTGTTTGTGTGCTGGCATTTAGCATTAATCATTTGAAACTCTATGTCATACTCTTTCAAGTGGTAAGAGGGCAGTTTGTGGTTGCAGAAATAGTTATTTCAAATTGGGACCAGCTTGAATTTACGGCATTGAATTTTGCCGTATATATGTTGGAAACTGCTTTGAGTCATGTTGTCCCTCCTTCCCCCCCCCCCCCCCCCCCCCCCCCGGTGAGAAGAGAGTATACAAATGAAGTAAATTAATAAATATGTTTGAAGCACCGTATATATTTCCTCCCTGCGAAAAATTAGAGGATACCTTGTAGCCCACTATTCATTTATTTATTTACAGTATTTATATCCCGCCATTCTCACCCTGAACGGGGCTCGGAGTGGCTTACAGAACACACATATGGCAAACATTAAATGCCAATTATACAATTAACAAGAACAAACAACACAAACAGAGGTAAAGACAGATTTTCCTATCTTATTTCCAGCATCTTGGAGGCTGTGCTCGACTCTAGCCACAGGACGGGGGACAGGGTGCTATTGTTTCATCTTTCCTCCAATCAATGTCCTTTAAAGGGCACCTTTATTACCTCCATGCTAAAAGCAGTACCTATTTTATCTGCTCACATTTCTGCTCTCGGCCTGCCAGGTGGACAGGTGAGCTGGGGCTAACAGCAGGTGCTCATCCTGCCCGGGCTCAAAGTGCTAACCTTCCAATCAGCAAGATTTTTCTGCAGCACAGCAATTTAGCTTGCAGTGCTAAGCCCAGCCCCTAGTTACCACTTCAGTTATGAATATTTCAAATGACATAAACACAAGTGCAAGGATTTCACCATAAAGCTGCTTGTTGCACTCTCTTGTGATCAGTGCTAGGAAAGAGTCTCTGAAATGTTCAAGTTCATCCACATTGCTTTCAAGCAGTGACATCTCAATTCATCTGAAAACATGGAGAGGTCCTATGCCAACTCTACCTAGTCCTCTTTTGCCATTTCCCAATCTCTGACCCTATAAAAGTTCAAAAATGAACATTTGATGCTTCCTTAACTGTTTTAATGCTGTGACTCTTGACTTTTGCATCTACCTTATTGTTTTGGACTTCAGCACAAAGAAACTTATCACAAGGGTGATAAAACAATGCTGTACTTTGATGGATGATGGCACTCCAAGATTTTTTTCCAGTTGGGAAACCCAAATCCTTTCAATTGAAGACAGTGGTGATGGAACCTGCTGTAGCTTTTGGCTACAGCATAACCTTTTTCTAAGGTATAGTCACACTACTCCCACCATCCCAGGTCAGACTCAGACATGTAACTTCTAGCTTGCCGAAAGAAAACATAAATATTGCCTTTGAGAACACTGAACTGGGCTCTTGCCATGCCAAGCAAAACACAAGACTCCGCTGAGACTTCATATTTTGCATAGACACTTTTATACTCACGAAGAGAAAAGAAAGGTCACACAAGAATAATTTTAATTAATTCCTGTTCAAAACAAGAAACACAAAGCAGATGGGCTGAAGCCACTTTAATCCTACTGATTTTTTTAACATTCATCTTTTGGAGGATTTATTCAGCCCTACCTGGTCTAATCTTTTAAGACCCTAAAAAAGAGTTGAGGCTGGCACCAATATATTCTGATTGGCCCAAAACACAAGGTCCATGAGCACACCAGACGTAAACTGAGAGAAACCATTTGTGCCTTTGGATTTGCTCAAGTGCAAGAATTATCAGATGGAGAGTTTTGATGCTAAATCAGATGGTGATGCTATAGAAACTGGTAAATGTTTTACACTTTTAAACAATGTTTTTGAGAAGATTTAAAGAGAAGCTGGTTTGATTTTCATGTGTAGGAAGTTTTAATGAGCCCAAAGTATACACTCGTTTGCACATTATTAGTTCAACATATGGAGGACTACCCTATAGAACAGTGTAACTGGGAAATGTGGAGAGTTTCAATAAACTCAACATTTAAAAATATAAATAATTCATTGCCTTTTCTATGAAGAATCAAAAATATATCCAGTTTTACAACATGGGGGAGGATTAATAACACAGCTAGGCAACATAATACCGATGCACCAATTCCTTTTTATCTCTCAACTTTTAGATCCACATAAACCACTGCAGAGACAGCTTTCGTATGACTGGATCCCAACATGAACTTAAGACAATGACTTCAGTGGAACCTGCTCTCAGATTCAGAGGAAGTTCTACAGTACCAAGGGAAGAGATCAAGAGGTGAAAAGTCAAACTGCATGTGTACATTAATGAAAAAGGCTATTTATCTTTGAAACATTGGTACTATCCAATTAAGGGTGCATCTACACTGCAAAATTAATGCAGTTTGACACCACTTAAACTGTCATGATGCAAAGCTATAATCATTTTGAGTCAACTGTCATAACTCAAAAATACAAATCGGTGACTTGTATTTTTACAAAATTTTGAACTTTCTCTGCCAGAGTGCTGGTCCCTCACCAAACTACAAATCCCAAGATCCTATAGCATTGAATCAGTTAAAGTGGTGTCAAATTGCATTGATTCTACAGTATTGGCACTTTGTAATTACCTCAATGATGCAACCTCCAATTAATGTCATTGCAGAAGCCCACTCAAAAACATTTGAAATTGACGAAGGACATATATCAACAGTGAGAGCCAGCATGGTACAGTGACCAATATAGCAACTTTGTCAAAAGCATTTGAGAAATCTATGGTGAAAAGTTCAAAAATGTAACATTATCAACTTCTGATGGGTTTTTAGGTGTTCAGTCATGTGTACTTATTCCCCTCCCATTTTTGTTTTGTTTTATAAATGCACAATAATTTCAGGAGTAAATGCTGCAACATTCAGTAGGACTTCAGTGTCGCCTTTAGAAATCTACTCCAGGATTTGCTGCTGCTGTTGTTGTTGTTGTTTACTTATTCAGTCATTTCCAACTCTTCGTGACCTCATGGACCAGCCCACACCAGAGCTCCCTGTCAGCCATCACTACCCCCAGTTCCTTCAGTCAAGCCAGTCACTTCAAGGACACCATTCATCCATCCATTTTGCCTTTGGTTGGCCCCTCTTTCTTTTTCCGTCCATTTTCCCCAGCATCATTGCCTTCTCTAAGTTTTCCTGACTTCTCATGATGTGGCCAAAGTACTTCATCCTTGTCTCTACTATCCTTCCCTCCAGTGAGCAGTTGGGCTTTATTTCCTGGAGGATGGACTGGTTGGATCTTCTCCTGGTCCAAGGCACTCTCAGAATTTTCCTCCAGCACCACAGTTCAAAAGCGTCTATCTTCCTTCGCTCAGCCTTCCTCATGGTACAGGTCTTGCACCCATAGGTTACTACGGGGAATACCATTGCATTAACTATGTGGATCTTCATTGCCAGTGTGATGTCTTCTAATTTCCTGGCTGCTGTTTGCATCTAAAGTAATCTTTGCACCGAGAAATACAAAGTCTCTCACTACTTCCAGTTTTCTCCCTCTATTTGCCAGTTATCAATCAGTCTTGTTGCCATAATCTTGTTTTTTTATGTTTAACTGCAACCAAGCTTTTGCACTTTCTTCTTTCACCTTGGTTAGAAAGTATTTTCTGACAGCCTAATATTTTGGCTGTAATGCAATTTGCTGCCCTGACTATTTTTCACCCTGATATGTTTTATGATTGAAATTGTTTAAAAGACTATAGAAGACTATTTTGACAAATGGGCACCAGTGGTATCACAGCAAGTCCCTCATGACCTATCAATATATGCATGGTATAGGCACTTCTGAATATTCCTTGCCTGAGAAAATCCTATTAAATTTATGGGGTCACCATTGGTTGACATGCAATGTGAAGACAACGCAATTACACTGCCTTTAAAAGGGACTCGTTATGCAAAACAAAACATCATGGGAGATTTGTGGTATGGGCACTTTAAAGCTTACTAAGGTGTTTTTTTCCAATCAATTGTTCCAGGTTTTGTCTAATTAAATTCCTTCAAAAGAATTTATTTACTGAAACAGAGACAGTCTCCATTCTGCCTTCATCAGGTTAATTAAACCAGCTCAAGCCAATACAGCAAACATTTCTGCAAACATATTAGAAGTATCAAATACTCTATACTGAACAGATATTTTCAAGTTTAGCTATATGTAGTCCCCAGCTTTGGTTGCATAGCACATTCAATAATCAGTACTCAAAAATTACAGCCTTCTCTTCAGTTTGATTATTGCCATTATACTGTA